CGGCTAGATCAGGCATGATCACAGCCGTAACAAGTACAAGTAAGTACACCTTCTTTATGGAATTTTTCTTCGTCTGACCTTCGCGGTTAACACTCACATCCATACGCAAACGTCAAGCATTCACAAGAATGATATCCTAGCGAGTATTGGAAGCTAAAATCGACCCAGCAACTAACAATAACTGCATTTACGTGGGCTATTTAGTCACCACTTAGACGCGCAACGGCGAGCCTGAGGACCTGGCAGTTTAAATGCCATACCTTTGATAGGCATTCTGGAGTACTGGCCCTCCTCTCCCGTAACACAAATGGTCATGCGCAATATTACGGTGTCATAACCAAAAGGCTAACCTAAAACCTACCTGTAACCCTAATCTCAACCAAAATACTACCCTTAAATCTATACTTACTTTTGACATTCAATGCAAAGCGCTCGGAATATGAGGTCTAATATTTTATTCAGCTGAACCCTCGAGCTGGTGGCAGAGTCCATCATTGGAATCCAGGAAAGTAACAACAAGAAGACAGTAATTACCGCCTTTTCAGCCAATCGGCGACGGTTCTAAGCTATCTGGTCCTATCACGGATTGAAGCGCGCACTGAGGAAGTCGGACAATCTCCTTCGTTTTTTGGATCACCTACGACGGCGGATAAATACATTCATTTTATCTAGACCTCCAGAGACCCTGGTTGTCTGATTAATTCCTATCAACTGCAGCAAGTCAACTACGAGCTCTGATCCTGCCACTTAAACCATAAAAACACAAAGTCTCTACTAATACTGACGCCTTTACTATCGAGCCTACCTGACTAAAGGGCCTTAACTACAACAATGTCTTCTCCTGAGAGAATTCCCCGAAATAACTTTCTGGAAATACGGCATTTCCTCGTTATGGCCGCTTATGTAAACGCAGGGAACCCCAAAACGTCATTCAACCTTGATGCCTTCAGCTAAGCAAAAACAGTCAACTCTTTTACTCCATATCGTTCGCATAAACAAAGTAAATTAAAAGGCATTTTAAAGTGTTGTGTGTACAGATGTAGATGGAATAATTCTGACATAAGTCCTTAGCGTTTCTCTTGGGGTTAGAAGATAAATTTAAGCAACTAGATCGACCTCAAAGAAAGAGTTAAGTGAGGAAGTCAACCCAGTATGGATAGGAAGGAAAGTTGTTATCGCTGGCAAAACGGCAGAAACTTGAAATTCCTTGATGGGAGGCGAAAACGGACCATGGTCGGATGATGTGAGGGGAATTACGATTCCCATTAGTGATGAGCCATTTACAGGGAAAACATAGGAGAAACACGCCGCAGAAGTAATATGGCGTGGTATTGGCCTCCCACCACTCCCTCTCCTTCCATCAAAGA